GCGTTTAAACATGTAGAAACAATTGTATGATGCCAATACTAATATATACAGCCACATACATCTTCAGAAGCTAGAAAATTAAATTAAAATTAGATTAACCTAAGTAGCTGAAAGACATTTTTTTATCCTTACTAATCCTCCGCTATGGGACAACAAAATTAATTTAAGTTATTTTTAAGGTTTGGGCTATTATTTAAGATGTAAACTTTGAAGACGTGAATACAAACCATATTCTCTACAGATCACTTTGGTCATGCATCATTAAAGGTGAGGTAAACGATTGTGAGGAAGATAATCTAATATCAATAACATGCAAACTGATTTACACTTCCCAACATGTTCACACCTGTGTCAATGAAATGTTGGATTACTCTGACAGACAGAACCATCATTTAGTCTGGGACAGTGAGAAAGGGTCCCTGTACTGATGTCAGACAAGAGAATACAGGAATTTACAAAAACTAAACCTGATATACAAATTGTACAGTATTTCAAACAGAGGTTACAGACTGTTCTGTATGTACAGCACTATTAAAGTCTTATTTCTGTTGTGCTGAGTGGGTCTTATTGCGGCTGATGAATTTATATCAGGCTGCATTCATACGATACCATCACTGATCTCGACTCAATCTCGACTCAGTGCTGCGTGACCGTAATGATTTGATCCTTCGAGATTCTGACAAAAGGAGGTCGCTGTCACTCACTTCCCTCATAAATCCTGTGGGTCTGGAAACACATTCACTTGGACTCTGTCATAGTGGAAGTGAGCAGCAGTAATCTATTACTGACCCAATCCATTTCACCTCCCTGAAAGCAGCTAATGGCCTCATCTTTATTAAAAGTCAAGGATACATGTTTTTGCCGTGTTATCCTGCTGTTCCTGCTGCTGGGGAAGTAAAACCTGATGGTTGAGGGAGCGAGAACCCATAATGACTGGCAGAGGTTTGGCTGTGACAGGCAGGAGGCCTATCTCACCCAATTTTCTCTCTTATCCCAATTTTTGTACTTCCTTATCAGAAAATAATGATAAGACACTAATGTGTCTTTAATTGGCATTAGGTACTGAATCACATTTTGACTATGCGCTATTAAAACAGGAGAGACTCTTAATATAATTAAAGCACACGTACTGTACTTTCTATTTACCTTGCAGACGAGATTAAGATTGGAAAAATAAATATCACTTCGACCTTGGATGGGGAGAAAATCGGGCAAACTTTGCAGCGTTATGACTAATGTCTGCCTTTGTGAACAAACTCTGAAAAGGAAAGTCTGTGAAAGTAAACTATAAAACTGAAAGAGCAGAAAAGTCAACACCAGGCTGCTGGCAGAAAGGGATAAATACTTTAGTCACTTCAATTAAACCTTAGCTCTCCACACTAGTCATAAAAGTCTGATATTTGGTTGTTCTTTTTGAACGGATACACCAACATGTGCAGTTTTACAAGTTACAATACAGCTGCAGTAGTTTCATTTTGATAAAAGGAAGTATTCTGTCATACATCACTCACACACACACACACACACACACTATGTGTTGATGTGAACAAAGAAAGTGGCCTACCTTCTGCCTTTGTTATGCCACACTCTCCATCTTGGATCAAGTTCTCCCTCTTTGGTTTTCTGATGGGTAGAGATCATCATTAGAGACGCATGCCGCCACCCACTGTACCAGAATGTACCATCATGACTTTATATGTAAATTAAACCTGTTTCAAGTAAGTATTTTAATAATCTCAGTTTAACCTGATTGTGTTTATTCACCATCTCCAACAGACTTTTCCCCCACGTCCACCATACTCAACCTTCTACAAGCATCAAACTGCACATTCCTACATGAGCTGGTATCCAACAGAAGTCAACATCGATACATACAGCATGTATTTCCAATAGTAAATCATCTCTAGCAGTTTGTCCTGACCGAATACTTAGTAACGCAACTGCTGAATCGGAACATATGACTCTGAAAAGTAAATATAAATGCTCTGTTACTGATTTCACTATGTGGGTTCATTGTACAGTTTTGAATATCATTTTAAAAACATCCATAAAATGTGTCACCTAAGCAGTCAGTTTACTAAATGATAGAAAAGGAGTCCCTTAAGGAAAAAGGCCAGGAACTGCTTTACACAAGGCTGGCAACGTCACAAAACTACAACGTTGACTATAGATACAAAATTTAAAAAGTTGCTGGATATAATAGAGTCTCGTGTATTCCTATCAGACTGTACGACCTTTACTAATAAAGGTAGGGTGAGCCATCTGTAGCCTGTGAGGCAAAACCCAGGGCTACCTCCTGCAGCTCCTTAAGCTTAGTGCTTTGGCATGGTAATAACAGATAGCAATTTAATCAACTCCTCTCTTCTCTCATCTGGACTCAAGTTGGTGTTTAGACAATGAGGGGACACTGTTCAGAGAGATTTCAGCCAGAAAATCAACCAGTGAGGGACACACACATGGAAATAACACCCTTCAATTAACTAAATTAAATTAAATCCCCCTTTTCAACAGCGCTAATCTGCAGTATTCTTCTCAATCACCTGTGTAAAGCCATTTCTATTTTCTGTTTAGTATATTATATCTACCTACAAACCTGAGACAAAGATCGATGCATTAGGATACTCCAGTGTGAA